CCCAAAGGCTGCCGAGCCCCCTCCAAAGTTTGTGCTGGGGGTGGAGAGATGGGGCGGAAGGGCACCGAGTCAGTCACAGTGCCCCAACAGCCCTGTCCCTTTTAAAGACCGGGCGGGGGACGAGCAGGGCAGATTTATTAGGAGAGCCTTTAAATTTTTTTTCCTTTTTTCTTTTTTACCTTGAGAAACTGTCTGCAATTGCCCAGACTCCACACTCGAGGCAGGAAAGTGCTGTTTGGGTGGGCAGTTGACAATGAATTGGCAGTCACTTTTGGAACACTGACTGAGGGTGGGGGGAGGGACGGAGGGAGAGAGAGAGAGAGAGAGAGAGAGAGAGAGAGAGAGAGAGAGAGAGAGTTAGTTTGGTTTTGTAAAGTTACTGAGAGCTCTCTGCCAAGGAATGCAACCTTGACAAAGTGCTCTCAGATAGCTACTACGCTGCACTCTCACTCAGTCCTTAAGAGGAAGAACTTTAATAAACAGATCCTAATCGTTGGCCCAAGGACACAGCTAACCTGTTGCTGAGTAGAAGGTACCTGTCAGAAGTGTGGAGCCAGGCTCTCTGGACAGTTAGGCGACGCAGCTCCCTTTGCATGCCTGCCAACCCATGCACGCGTGGGCACACACATACGCACACGCACACATGTGTTCATGCCATGTTGCTTTTGTGGCGATGCCAGGCTCCAGAAACGCACCCCTTGCCAAATCCCGTCTAAAGGAATGCCATTGTTTTGGTGGGTAGAGCATATGGCCGAGTAAAGTATGTGTAGGGACTCCCAGCATTTTTTGTTTAAAAGTTTGCCGCAGCAGTATAAACAATGAAGGCAACACTCAGACTTTCCAACCCTGCAAACCTGTTGAGTCAGATGTTCTGTTTGCAAGAAGACCATAGCCAGCCCCCGGCATCCTTTTTGGGGTGCAGATTGCCTGCTGCTCCCCCCCCCTCCCTGGAGAAGTCCCCTGTCCTACCAGGGAAGAGCTCTTCTTCAGAAGCTTCCTCAGAGCATGATTCTAGATGCAGCTTCCAAGGACATGGTAATTACGACTTTATCTTTCAGGGAAAGAGTCAGGTTGGACTTTCCGATATTCCCCAACGTCTCATGGTTGTACGGTAGGAAAGAAAGCACTCGTGCCTTGGGCCCTGCCTCTGGAATGGGTTCCAGCAGCCCCAAGGGCTCTCCATATCCGGACACAAAGACACCCCCAGATAAAATTTGATATATCGAGTGTCTCCTGTCTCCTGTGATGCTGTCAGTTACAAATACCTATTCAATTGGCTTTAACACCATCCTGTGGGGCATATGCCTCATGTCCTCACCCACTGACTGAGCAGGCGCCCAGTAAAGGGTCACTGAACTCTGCCTGCTGTGCGCCTTTCTCTAACTTACTGGACATTGGCAGCAAAGGTACCCTCTTGGCACTCAGGGACTTTTGCAGTAAAAGAATGTGACTGTTTCCCTTCCTTCCGTATCATCACTGTCATCTCGGAGCCATCTTTTTCTCAGTTATAGAAGGTCTTATTCTTTTTTACTCTCCTGCGAGCGGTTTCACTGCAAAGGAATGAGCTATTTTCTTTTTTTAAGCGATTCATTTGATTTTTACGCTGAAAATACTCCATGACGGTCTAAAATGGAAAACTCCAGGAGGAGTTTCCAACCTGACCTTGGGTGAGTGGCGGCATTCCCAGAAGGGACTTGCTATATTCTTTATTTCTAATCTACAAAGTTGCACTTCTCAACTTCAAGTTGATCTCATGAAATTTCACAAATATAATGACCCCATAGATGAGAGACAAATGCTCTCCCACAAGGGGACCACACCAGCGTTTCAATGCAGGTCTGGCCACCCAAGAAACAGGTATTAACTGAATGATGGCAGTGAACATATGACAATGAATAGCAAAGATTTGTCTTTCTAACTTTTGGACTCGGTCAATTTTAATAAGATCCCAACGCTGTGGGATGTCAAGAATTTGGAGACTAGGAAAAAGGCATGTGTTTTCCTTTCCATTACAAACTATTATGTACTTTACAGAATCTCATCCACCAAACCCCCACCCATGTGCAGGCCATGAACATATAGACACATACCTATCAACTAAGAGATACTTTCGTTTAGAGCTTCATGTTTAATGTTTGCCTCTTCTCTCCTGGATTGTTTAATAGTCAAGGTTTGGTAACCACAGCTGAGGAACTACAAAATCTAAAGTGCCTAGAACTCTTTGAACCGAGTGTGTGCCTCTATGCTCAGGTAGAAAGGAAAGATAATCTGACTAAGGCTCGTAGGCATGTTTATTAACTAAGAGGTGGAACAATCTTCGAAGGCTCCCTGGCACTCAGTTCAATCACCCAAAGTGATTTTCTGCTAACGCATGTCACCCAGATTGTTCACCATGATTAGTGTGGTCTTTGCTTGGCTATTCGAGAATCTTGTGTTTACCATAAAACCTTAAGGAGAAATCTTCTTTCTAGAAGAAAGGCAGAAGGGATGAGCACGCCCAACCAGCACGATTATACGACTATAATCGCCAGTCGGCAGTGGACCTTTTTGACAGCTGTATTGTATTTTACCGGTGCTATTCAAGGCATTAGCCGCTGGCCGGTCCAGGCAGTACAGTAACAGTATAATGTGGAGCCTCCAACGTTGTACGTGCTGCCAGATTTATATTCTGCTAATCAATTTAGCAACTGCTCATGCGTCTTAAAGGAAGGAAAGGGCAAAGAAGACAGATGAAAGAGAAAGGCGTGGGAAGCGCTCATGTAGCCTGGGTGTTGGTGAGAGCAACATTTGGAGAATATGATTTACCAGAGGTTTGAATTAGAATTTGTAGCGCCTAAGAAGAGATTTGAGAACATTGGCTTGAGTGGCCTCCCCCCTTCTCCATCTGCAGAAAGCCCATCTCAGGGTGGAGTTGACTCCTTCCCTTTCCACCAGTGTTCTGAACTTCCCTCTGAATTAATTACCTTTCCTACCTTCAGGGGTTACAAACTTTCTTCTGAATAACGGGAACCAAATGGCCACAAGAGGGCGCATTCCAAAGACTTTTGCTGCTTGCCAATTACTCTTCCTGGAGAAGCGATTCCACAGTGCCATCATCTTAGTGATGACCGGCTGCCTCCCTCTTCCTAACTCCTAGCAGTTAGGATTTTATGGGCTGAGCAACACATGACCACCTATAGTATGTGCAATGTGACAGAAGGCATAGAAATGGGAATTTTAGTGATATATGTGAACATTCCAGCGCTTATGGACGGCAGAGGATTGATAACTTTTAAAAGCAAACAAAGCACAGAGTGGAGAAATGTGAATCATGAGCAATACTGATTTGCTCGTGTCTCTCCCTAATACGGCCGCCTGGGCTTTTATAAAAAACGCATCATCGGTCCCGTGATTTTTATTGTTGTTGTTGTTCAAACCTGGTTTTCTTGCCTTAGCACTTTACATCAGCAACAAATGACAAGGTACTTCAAATGGGGAGGGAAAAGGCTGTTTATTTAACGCCTTGTGGGAACATGGTGTTCAGCTTCTGACGATGCATTTATAAACAAATGGAGGGTGTGGAGACAAGTAGTGGAGACAAGATGTAGAAAGAGATTCATAATCTCTTTCAGTAGGGAAGGAGGTCTACTGGGATGGAGTGTTAGGGTTCAAATTCATGGGGGCACCTTCCCAGGCACTTGTGAAAATATGTATTTATCTTGGCCTCTCTTTGCTAAAATCTCCTTGATAATTTATGATCTCTTAGCTGTGGTTCAGAAATCTTCGTAGTTGACTGGTTCCTACATCCTAAGCTCCAAAGCGTAAAAGTTCTCAGGAACTTTTTTCAGGAACGCAAGAAGTCTCTGAAATTCAGAGGATTGAACCTTAGGCATTCCTTCTATTTGAACCTTAAAAAAACCCCTCTTCCCTGAAATTTCGAACATTGTGTTTTATCACTACTTAAAAAGTAGGACTATGATGGTGAGCGTGGCTGAACATTCTCACTTCCATGATGCTGCCCCTCCCCCACAAGATATTAAGACTGAAAATGAAACGATCCAGGACATTTTGGGACCCGCGATTCAGGCAAGATGCTCTTTGGGAGGGTAGAGAACCTTTAAGAACTTTTACACTGCCTTCTCCAGGAACCCCTAGAAATACCATCCAAATGCCAACCAAGGACTTCACAGAGCACACCTGCCCCATCACTAGGCACAGGGAAACCTTGGGGAGGGATGGAAAATTGAACTACATCGCTTTTTGAGTGAGGCTTCCCCCCCATGCTGAGTTGAAAGGCTCTATACACACAACAAAACCTTCCACGTTAGCGTTAGAGACGTAATTAGTACCCCTCTGTAGAACACAGCATACTTAAAGCACAACCCTGGTGAGGAAAAACAAATCCAGAAACTGCCTGTGTGGGTTGCTTATTTAATTGGATGCGTTCATGCACCCCGATCTTGAGATGCATGGCCCTCTGGATGAACAGCTTTTTGCATCTTAGCAAGTGGGGGCTTAGCTGCTTAACCCTTGGCATTCCCTCATGATTCAGTTTTTTCCAAAAGTGCATAATTCTGAAAGTAAAGGAAAATAGGATGCAAATATCCTTTTAAGGGGTTCTGCCTCTAGCTTTCCTTTGTCCAATCCCTCCCACCCAATGACATTTCAGAGGTGTTTCCTGTGGCATGCAACATTTAGTGCCCCTGCCTATTTTTCTGCACCCCATTTGCTCCCTCTCTCTGTGGTATGTGTCCCCCAGGCTCACAGCGGCTTAAGTGATGAAATATTATCACCCACATGGGTTTGCGTGGGACTTTCTTAGTGAATTACTCAGGCAGAGCAGGCTGTGATACAAGTCTTGCCTCACAAGCCCTCAGGAGGGAAAAAATAGCACCAGGATGAGAAGAATATTATCAGAGAGTAGGTAATGAAAGGTTAGCAAAGCAGCCAGCTATATCTGGCTGATAGGTAATAGTGTAGGAACCTAGTGCACACCTGTACAAATGCATGCCGTACCTGTTCACAAAGCATGATGGGAGACCTTCCATGTCAGGGTTTCACAGCACAAGATACTTAACTGAGACCTGAAGCTGCTTAGAAATGGATTCTAAATACCTCAACCTGAAGCAACCTTGTCGCATTTCCCAAACTTAAGCATAGGGGATTGAGAGTTGAAAGGGGCACCCTGACCAATTCACTGCACTATAACAATCTCTCTCTCTCGCTGTCGTAATATAGAGATAAAGGGAACAGCACCAACTGGCCAGTTATTTATCACATTTTTCATCCTTCAGAAATCTGAGGGGTTTTAATACCTTCCTGAAGCCTAAGTGCTGATAAATAGAATTCCACCTCAGCTCCCAGCAGTCTCATTCTCCCCACCCCCTCTGCACTGAAAGCTAATGAAGAAGAAAAAAACAAAAACGCCCTGCTTAACAAGTAAGAATACAATAAAACTTGTAAAATGTACCTGCATGTGAGGTAGACATTAGGAAGACTTGAGTTTCTCTCTTCCCCCTGTTCTCCTGAGCATTATGGCAACAGCATTTTCATGAAATTGGATCTCAACGTTATTTATTTATTCTTTTGCCTGATAAAATAGCATGCAATGTACAAACAGCAGTTCCAGAAATGGACACCAGGAGAAGGAGGCGACAAGCATGTCGGTTAGTAGGGGGAAAATCCAAATGTCAGAATTATGGGGGAGAGAAGAGGCAGGCAGGCAATGAATGCAAATGCAGGGAGCAGGGTCTTTCCGTTCAGATAATTAAATGGATGGATAAATCAACCTGCGTGCCTCCCCACCACACGCAGGCGATGCCGTTAATTGCCAGCCAAGTCCAGGATGAAAGTCATTTTATGATGACTCTCCGATCCTAATATAACAGCACCTGACAGATTGAGCCCCCTCGAATGACTCCTCTCTTTGTATGCTCCTCTCTCAGGAACACTAAATCATTTGCCTTCAAGTACAGCTGCTTGTGCAGAAGGGGTGGGGCTCTATCATGCATCACAAACCTGCTGTCAGGAAAATGAGGGCTGTCCTGTAGGCTGTGTGGCTGCAAGCGGCCACGCTGGCCCTGGAAGAGCAATTTGGATGCGGCTGCCCCTTGTCCAAGTTGACCAGTTAGCCCTCCCTCCCTGCCTCTGTCCCACACCGCTCTTCATCCCGCCCTCCCCCTCACCCCCCACCCTCTTCAGTAGCATCTGTAGACTGCTCTGCTGTGTGTTCATGGAAAGACCCGGGTCTGCTGGGTAGCTCTGCCTTGTGCACTCTGTTTGGACACCCTCAGCCCCGCCTGTGAAGCCTGGGCCAGAGCCCAGAGCCTGTGGGAATGCGTTACCTGAAACTCAGGGAGCTTTCCAGTTCTGGGCACCAATCTGGGGGAGCTCCAGTTTCACACTCTTTCCTCCAAAAGCAAAACACAACCTTGTGCCCTCTGCTTTTTCTAATTTAGCAGCTACTATCTCTCTGTCTTTACACCGACACCCTGCGTCGTTTATGATTTCAGAAGCTGGCCTGTGTAGAGGCAGAAGGGGGAACAGCAGGTAGCTTGTTAACATTCTCCACGGGCAGGGGATGCGGGAGAGCGTGCTCATCATGCCTGGGCGTTATCTGCCCACTCTTCCACTACCCCATCTTCAAAGCTTCCGTTTTGCTTCCCCTCTGATCTTGAGGGGTCCCAACCCCTTAAGATCTGCAGCTGACTGTCTTTTTGGATTGACATACTTAAATCGCCTTCCCTCCAGGACTCTCCGTGCTTTCTTAACCAACAACATCAAAAATATCCATCCATTCTTAGCAAGAGAATTCGGAATTCCTCTCTCTCTTCCTTCCCTCAGTTTAAAAAAAAAAGAATCATCGTGTTGACTTAGAGAGAGAGAGAGAGAGAATCCCTCACTAAGCGCCTCACGCTCTGGTGATCTAATCATAAACCCAGCTGTATTACTCATTCTAACTCCTGCCAGGACGTGAGGCAGGAGTCAGAGCAACTCCTCTCACCACCACCACCACCACCACCATCATCATCATCACCACCCTTGCCCACATCCTAACAAGTCTATACAAAGACTCCAGAGAGGCTTTCTTATAAACATGCAGCCCTGCCTCGGTCCTCCCCCCCAGTGCATTTACCACTGTCATAATCACAGTGTGTAGAGTGTGTTAAATTAGGAACAGAATCGACCGTGAGCAGTGCACAGAAAGCCTGCCTTCTGCTGCAGAGAACTTGAAACGGTGCCCACAATGTATAGCACTGTAAACATCTTGAGCCCGAGAGGCTGGGTTTCAGCTAGCTGTGGAAATCTAGGCAGGGAGAGCCTCCTTGGGAGTTGTGAGTTATAAGATGAACTTTTGACTATTTTCTTCAGATGTGTATGTGTGATACACGTGAAGATACGGGCAGCCAATTCCAAGCCAGCTCTTGCAGGCGGTGATCAAGCAAATAGAGGACATGTGGCTTAGTGTCTCCTATCAGTGTGTTTGTGTGTCGAGTGGTGGTGGTGTGGTTTGCAATATCTGAAGACTCGGACAACTGTAGTCTGGACACCTGCCCCCTATTGTGAATGTTGTCACATGAATAAATACACAGGTGCTTATGGAAAAGGAAAGAAACAGGTGACAGCCAAATTTGAGAGTTAGGAAGGGCTCAGTGGCCTTTGAATCCAAGGGCTTGTCCATGTAGAGATGTGTCCTAGAATATTTAGCACAATGATCAGTTGGCATTGGCCAACACTGACTCCTGGTGTCCCCGTGTGTAGAAGTAGAGCTGGGCTCCATTGGGTTGCTGGTGGTTGACTTTCTGGGGAAGTATATTGTCATGTTTTTCTTCCTGGATGCCTCTGGGTGTCCTGGAACCTCCAACCATTGGGTTAGCCTGCCAAGTATGTTACCTTTTGCACCTTCCAGGGTGATACCATTAGTAACCATTACTCTTTGAAACAGGCAATGGCTGTTCTCATTAAAGCTACAATCATCAGGGAGGGAGGGGACATGGGGTCGTGGGAGGTGGGGGTGGCTTTCTTTATGTAATAAAGCTCTTTGGTAGGAGAGTTTCCATTCAGTCATCAAGATTCGTCCAATTGCCCACTTTCTGCTAAACCAGGGGGTCCTGGTGGTGTAGCGGCATTATGCTGCATTAGCAACTGCAACGTCAGCACTTTGAAACCACTAGCCAGCTCTGTGAGAGAAAGGCGAGGCTGTCTGCTGTAGTAAACTGTGAACTCCACTGAGGCAGTTCTACTCTGCCCTGAAGGGTGGCCAGGAGTGGACATCCACTGGATGGCTGCAGGTTTGGTTTTTGGCTTTTTGCTAAACACCGGGTGGTGATCGCGAAAGACAGAGATAAGACCTCACACCTTGGGGGCACCTAAACTGGTCTGGCTAGAGGGTGGGGCTGGGGGGCAGGTTTCCTAGAGGATGAGTCATCCAATTTGAAACATTATTAAAGTTCACACTACTGATGTGTTTGTTGATAGTGGTCATGCGGAGCAGGACTATTGTAGGCGTTAGCACATGTGACTCTCTGGAGGCAGGGAGAGCAAGAGAGGCTCAAAAACTTTAAAGAAACATCCTGTAATTAGACCCCTGAGGAGTAAGGGTGGCGGGTAGTTTGTGCAAAGCCTTGAACTTTAGTAGTTTCTCTTTCTCCCCACAACAGTAACACTCACGGCCATCCAGCTAAGCCAGACCACTGCTAGCAACCCCACAGGACAGGGTGGAATGGCCCCTCTGAGTGTCTGAGGCTGACACAGTTTTAGGGAGCAGCATACTTCTTCCCTAGAAAGGGCCACAGCAGGTATTATTTTCGGATTTGCAGGCCAAATACTCTGTCACAAATTTCCAACCCTGTGCTCTAGTTCCAAAGCAGTCATTGGTGGGGTATAAAGGAATGAGCTTCATGGTGTCCCAACAAAACTTCACTTATGAGCATGCAAATTTGAATTGCATATCATTTCCATACGTCGCTAAACAGTGCTTTTTCATTCTTTTTTTGGCATGTAAAATTTTGAAAAGCTACTGTTAGCTTGTAGGCCATCTAGGAACAAGCGTGCCTGTGGCGAGGGGGAGGACTGGATTTGGCCCCGGAGCTCTGGTGCACTGGGCCTTGTTCTAGAATAATCTGCCAGAGAAGGCTCCTACTTGCTAGCACTGAAGGGGGCACATGCCAACTCAGAATCTAACATGTGCCCATGGTTTCTTTTGTGCCTCTTTTCTTCCATAGGCACAGCCAGGAAGACACTGCACTTTGAGATTTCCAAGGAAGGCAGCGACCTTTCGGTGGTGGAGCGTGCAGAAGTGTGGCTCTTCCTGAAAGTCCCCAAGGCCAACCGGACCAGGACCAAAGTCACCATCCGCCTCTTCCAGCAACAGAAGCACTTGCAGGGTGGCTTGGACGCCGGGGAGGAGGCGGAGGAGGTGGGCTGGAAGGGCGAGCGGAGGAGTGAACTGCTGATCTCCGAGAAGGTGGTGGATGCGCGGAAGAGCACCTGGCACATTTTGCCCGTCTCCAGCAGCATCCAGCGGCTGCTGGACCAGGGCAGGAGCTCCCTGGATGTCCGGTTCGCCTGTGAGCAGTGCCAGGAGAGCGGCGCCAGCCTGGTGCTCTTGGGCAAGAAGAAGAAGAAAGAGGAGGAGAGCGAAGGCCGGAAGAAGGACGGCGACGGGGCGGAGGAGGAGAAGGAACAGTCGCACAGACCCTTCCTCATGTTGCAGGCCCGGCAGTCCGAAGACCACCCTCACCGCCGCCGCCGGCGGGGCCTGGAGTGTGACGGCAAGGTCAACATCTGCTGTAAGAAACAGTTCTTTGTCAGTTTCAAGGACATTGGCTGGAACGACTGGATCATCGCCCCCTCGGGCTACCATGCCAACTACTGCGAGGGTGAGTGCCCCAGCCACATAGCGGGCACGTCGGGCTCCTCGCTGTCCTTCCACTCGACCGTCATCAACCACTACCGCTTGCGGGGGCACAGCCCCTTCGCCAACCTCAAGTCGTGCTGTGTCCCCACCAAGCTGAGACCCATGTCCATGCTGTACTATGATGATGGCCAAAACATCATCAAGAAGGACATCCAGAACATGATCGTGGAGGAGTGTGGGTGCTCCTAGAGGCGCCGCCCGGGCCGGGGGGTGGGGGGTGGGGGGGAGGCGAGGGAACAGGAGTTGCTCAGAGAAGACAGTGGCAAAATGAAGAAACATTTTTTAAGGTTTCTGAGGTAATGGTCAGAACCATTAAAAGACAAACAAAACAAAACAACTCAACTAAGAACAAAACCTGAAAGAGACGAAGGACACTATTGAGAAGCAGGGCTCTGCGATGAAGCTGAGAAGGGAGTGCAGGTGGGGAGAGACCGGGGCGGGTGTACCCTGCACTTGGGGTCAGCTTTTGAGACTGGGGATGGTACTCTCCCCGCTCTGCTTCCTTTTCGGCTGTGAGCCTTGAAGCCAACTTGTCTAGTTTGCAATAATGTGGACTCTCGTGTCCCAAATAGCATTGAGAAAGCCATGATTCTGAAAGGGCCCTCCACAGGCACTTTCCCGCTGATTTCTCTAGGTCATAAGGTCTGTCTGTGCGACACTCTCTCTGTTCACATCAGCGCGCGCACACACACACACACACACACACACCCCACACACAGGCACACACCACACCCCCCACACCCCCACCCCTCCCCACACCACACCATGTCACACGCAGGCGTTTTCCACGCACCGCATACATGAACATCCTGGCAAAAGAACGATGTTATGAAAATGATCACACTGTCTTTCTCCACACCACTTTTGCAACCAAACAGAACGAAACAGCCGCAACAACAAAATAAGCCAACATAAAACATTTTTTTAAAAATGAGCGCAAAAATGGAAAGAGTGAAAGGCTCAAGGAAAAAAGAATACCAAGTTACATTTCGTTAAGGTGCTTATGATCTTAGAACTATGCAACCTAATAGGTTTGAAACTGTTTACCTGAGAGAGAGCAAACAGAGAGACTTTTTTGTATTGGAAGTAACCTGATTAATTTTTATTTTCTTCAAGGAGAGATACTTGAAAGGAATATGTTTGTCCATCTGTTGGATTCAAACATTTCTATATTTTGTAAATGTGTTTTTTTTTTTATCGTTTACTATTTGCACTACAATGGTGTTTGACCTGTCTAATCCTTATTTAACAAGTATTTTCTTGGGGTGGGTGGGGGGAGGTTAAGAGCTGCACTTAATGTGAGCTATAAAAGAACTGCTACAGCACACAAAATAGCTATTTTTATTATTATAATTATAATTATTATTTTGTACCTTAAAAAATAGACACATACACCAAAGACATTTGTGTGAGCCTTTAAACAAACAGTCTGTCTGTGGTTGGTATCATTCACCATTAATGAGTCAGGGGTTCGAATTCAAGGTTGCGTAATGGGGGTTGTGTTCAGGTTTCAGAGACCTGAGACGCTTGGGTTTTGACTCCTTTTACATCCATGAAACAGGACATTTCATACTGGATGTACAGTAGTTGTACACTGTTGGAAACCAAGTTCAATCAAATTCATGAAATGCTACATGCTTGTATGTGTATATATACATTGCTTGTGCATATGCATATCTGTGTGTATATATACATGTATTGTATCATGTCCATATACATTTTAAGCACTTCAGGCTGTCATTTTTTAAATGTTCTTAAAGCAATGAATGTTTGTGTGCAAAACACAGTATTTTTAAGAAGGATAGGCTATGTAGTTTTGCTTTTACTCTGAACTAGTTGGCACATTTTGAAAATTTAGATGAAAAAGATAAGCCTGGGCCTTCTAGAGAGTCTTTCAAAGGCCCCTCTTTAATGTACAGGGATCCACATCCTCTTTTCCCTCCCCATTCATGTCAGTTATCACCTGCAGATGAAAACAGGAAACCCGTGTGAACCAAAACTCTGTGCTGGGCCTTTTCCCCCCTTCAATTTATAGATACGATCAATTGGAATCAATCTTATGTCAGGGGTTCTTTGGAAGGCAAGTCACAACTGTTTGGGCCGGGATAAAAAGTTCCGTGCATCTTATGATGGAAGTCTGATTTTAAGAATGATGACCTCAACAAGGTGGACTAAATAGCCTTGTGGTCAATGGTAAAAAAAGGAAAGAACTTGGGGCTCAGGTATGAACAGAGTGGGGGAAAGGAAGTGAGCAGTTCAGAGGAAGCAGGGATGAGGACAGTAATCAATTCCTAATGATTTAATTTATAGCCCAAACTCTGCTGCAGCAATCGTTTGCATGTGTTGGTTCAGATGCATGCAAAAAATAAAACCCAAACCCCAAACAGTGACATTGTCTTACAAAGATCAAACTTCATGCTTAAAGCTATTTCTATCTAGTTCATTCCAGTGTTTAGCTTGCATAGAACAGCTGAGACGTTACTCATTTATGTACAAAAAACAAAACAAAACACAGAGCCTTATTTTCACTGACTTGTTTGAAGTTAGCAAAATTCTTTCAGAAATTGGGGGGGAAATACAGTTATTGCTACTCTAAAACATTAAGGTTTTCTGCCCTATATCAACTTTTAGATGAAAAAAATAATGGGAGAATAAATATCCGTAAGAAACACTACAGAAAAAGGATTTAACTCTTTTGAAAAAAATTGCTAAACCAATAAAACTATAACACTAATCTGCATGTAGGCAAGTTACTTGAATCTCATTACAGGGAAAGTGTATTTCCTAGGTTTAGGGGTCCACTCCTTCTTCTGCAGGAAAAACAGCATGGTCTGCAGCAGGAGCTCAAGAGTGGAGTCTGATCAAGCCGCGAGCGGGAGAGCCTCCAACACTGGTACTTTCCCCCTCGCTGTTTCCCATGGGCTAGGAAATCCTGCATGTGAGGAGGGTCGGTGTAATAGGAATGCTTCGAGGAGAGGAGTTGATGACTATGGTCAACTCTCCAGATTTTCATGAAAAACTTCGAGGGTCTTGTGACTGCCTCTTCTTTGGTATCTGAATTGGTACGGCAAGTGTTGAAAAGAACATGAGCTAACAGTCCCAGTTCACGGGCTTAGCAGTGATGGTCAAGGCAGTGGGGAGAGCAGGAGGTGACAGAGAACAGATCCTGGTAGAGTTTCAATTCATCTCAAAACTGGATTTTATGTTTTTAAGTCCTACATGTCTTAAGGGTTAAATGGGTTTGATCAGTGGCCACAGGAATTAGAAGCAGAGCAGAATGAAAATGTAATTGGGTATGAAATGATTGGGGGCCAGACATCTACAATCTTTAACTTCATTCCATTACATTTATATGGCCTTGAAGCGGAATTATAAATTGGTACCATTCTAATAATGTTGGAGTATGTGCAGTCCTGTGAACAATGATACTTTTGATATAGCAGCATGGCACCAAATGGAAGAGCTTTTACATTGTACTGTGCTGCCTTTTCTGTAGGGTTTTCCTTTTTCTTCCCTATAACAAGGGGGCGCTCTATCTGGTCTTAAGATATCTCCAGTCTTTCTCCAGGATGAGTTCTGAAAAATCTACCCATACCAATCTCAGAAGCTCAGACAAGTATTTGATCCTAAATATCTGTTGGGAATAATACATCTTTTGTAGACTGGTTTGACGTTGCCTATAATTTCCACCCCCAAAAAAACAGTAAGGAGACCTTCAGGACTTATGATTTGGAATTTTACTGTCCCTGAGGAAATCCAGCCCATATATTTATTTAAGATTGATTCCACACTCCATTTTTCAGAGGGCCTGTATTCTCCTGTAAGGTAGTTTATGTGTGTGTGTTTGTGTGTGTGTGTGTGTGTGTGTGTGTGTGTGTGTGTTTGGTTTTCACCCCTGTGGGACTGACTTCAAGTGGTGACTCTAAAAAGACCAGAGAACAAAAATGTTTCAATTATATTCAACTTAGATTCAAATTATCATGTCCACTTGAAAAAAAACATGATTTCCTGTGGGCCTTTTGGCAACTTCCTTTTTCAAAGCAGAGAAAAACTTAGTCACCCTGAAAACCTACACAATGAAAAGAAGCTTATAGATGTGGGCTGCACATGTGGGGGTGGACATGGTGTTTAAATTAAACCCTGTATCACTGAGAATTTGTTGTATGGGTCAGAGAAAATGAATGCCTAGAAGCTGTTCACATCAAGAGGAGAAGCAAACCACATGTCTCAGCTATATTATTTATTTTTATGCATAAAGTGAATCATTTCTTCTGTATTAATCCCCAATAGGTTTTACCCTCTATTTAAATGCTTTGGAGAAAAAAAACACAACAGTGCATTGACAATGGGTTGATATTTTTCTTTAAAAGAAAAATATAATTATGAAAGCCAAGATAATCTGAAGCTTGTTTTGTTTGAAAACTTTTTATGTTCTGTGGTTGATGCTGTTTGTTTGTTTTTGTTTTTATTTTGGATTTATTATTTTTTGGCATACTACATGCAGTTCTCTAACCAGTGTCTGTTTGGCTAATGTAATTAAAGTTGTTAATTTATATGAGTGCATTTCAACTATGTCAATGGTTTTTTAATATTTATTGTGTAGAAGTACTGGTAATTTTTTATTTACAATATGTTTAAAGAGATAACAGTTTGATATGTTTTCATGTGTTTATAGCAGAAGTTATTTATTTCTATGGCATTCCAGCGGATATTTTGGTGTTTGCGAGGCATGCAGTTGATATTTTGTACAGTTAGTGGACAGTATTCAGCAGCGCCTGATAGCTTCTTTGGCCTTATGTTAAATAAAAAGACCTATTTGGGATTTTATTTTTATTTTATGTCTTATTTTATTGGTTTTCCAAGACCCACCTTGCACACATATTGCCACAGCCTGCACTGGGCGGTAATTTAGTTCCCACTGTAAAGACCTGGAAAAGGATAAGACAATGAATGAGGGGGAGAGCGCTAGCCCAGGAGCTGCAGTAAGAGCCTAAGTAGCAGAGAGAGACTATAGATTCAAGAGGCAGAGCTCTGTAATGGGCTGCAGGTGCTTGAACCAGCAGTATGATATTTTATTCATTTTCTTAATTTCCCCTTTCTAAACCTGCAATGGCAACTCCACTTGCATGAAATAGCCACCTCCTCTCCTTTCTTCTCTGGCCTCTGCCTCTCCCTTCCTCCACTCTCCCTCCGCGC